CATCCTGCCAGAGCTCTCCATCTGGAAGAAAGAAAGCTTCAAAGTTTCCAGAAGGGTTGCCTAACAGGGAGGAGCAGCAAGAGAGACACAGAGAGAAGAAAGCCATGGGGCTGGCACCCCAAGCTTCATGGTCTGAAAAGGAAGTCAAATTCTGGAGACATGGCCCAGCATCACTGGACTCTCCCGACCTTCGGACAGAATTTCCCCATTCCTTAATTCACTCCTTAGTTTTATTGTTCAGACTGGGGTTCTCTGTATGCCGGACTGGTTTTGAACTTATCATCTGTCTGCCTGAGCCTCTCCAGTGCTAGAGTAACAGGTGTTCACCTCCATGTCTGGCTAGCTACTTTATCTTCCCTATGTGTTTACCTATCTCTCCTACCTCTACCCAGATGTTTTATTCTATTGATTTAAGATTTATTTTATGTGTGTGAATGTTTTGCCTGCATATATGTCTGTGCACCATCTGTAAGTCTGGGGTTCACAGGAGCCAGAGGAGGGCGTCTGATCTCCTGGAACTGGAGTTGCGGATGGCTGTAAGTCACTATGTGACTGCTAGGAATCAAACTTGGGTCCTCTGGAAAAGCAGCCAGTGCTCTTAACTACTGAACCATCTCCCCAGCCCTATTACACACACACACACACACACACACACACACACACACACACATATATATATATTTGGTTTTTTGAGACAGGGTTTCTCTGTATAGTTTTGGTGCCTGTCCTGGATCTCGCTCTGTAGACCAGGCTGGCCTCAAACTCACAGAGATCTGCCTGGCTCTGCCTCCCGAGTGCTGGGAGTAAAGGCATGTGCCACCACTGCCCGGCTCTATTTACTTAATACTTTGAGACAGGATGTAGCACTGGTTGGCCTGGTACTCTCTATGTAGACGAAACTGTCCTCAAACTCAAAGGGATCCGCCTGCCTCTACCTCCCTGGAGCTGGGATCAAAGGCATGTGCCACCATCCGGGCCTCTTAGACTGTGTCTTAATATGCTAAGGAAAAATCAGGATTGCAGAGTTGCAAAAACTTTCTTATAACCCTCATTGTACAGAAGAGCATTGGAGCCTATGAGTTGATGCCATTATTTTGTGCATATGTTTTTGTTTTTGTTTTTGTTTTTTTGCCAAGTTCTTGAAGGTTCTATGATCAGACCCAGCCTGCTCTGCGTATAGCTGAGTGATAGAATACATGCTTAGCACGCACAAGGTCCTGTGTTCCTTCCTCATTGTAGGAAAAAAAAGAAATACTCAAATGCATGGTATAAATCATGAAGTTCAGTGTGTGTTTGTTTTGTTTTGTTTCCAGAATAAGGCTGGCAGTCAAAGTTGATTTGGGGACCTGGGACATGACTTCTTTTAGAAATAAGTAAAAGAGAATATACTATATCAGGGTGTATCCTAAGTAGGAAGGCCATTGGTCTATTAACATTGGCTTAGAATTTAATACATAATAACATTTTATTTATTTATTATTTATTTTTAAGACAAGGTCTTGCTGTGAGGCCCAGGCTGGTCTCAAACTTACCAACCTCTTGCCTCCACCTCATAAGTGCTGGGATTGTGTAAGTATTAGTTTATGTGATGACTATTTACTATGACAGATATTTCTGTAAGCACTGAGGGAAGAGGGATGAAAGGGACATGTTTCTGACCCAAAGGCAGCTAGCACTGGGCAGTAAAAAGATACACTGCCAAAAGATGGTGAGAGCTAGGACAAAAGCAGTCACGGGGCACAAGGGGACGCAGAGCAGAGCATGGCATGGAGGCATGCAGGGGGTCACATGTGAGTCCGAAAAGATGAAATCCTAGGCATGGGGACAGACATGCTCAAAGGCACAGCAGGGTAAAATGACCTGGGATAAATTGGACATGATGGAGTATGCCTGTCATCCCAGCACTTGGGAGGCTGAAACAGGAGAACTGCTACAAGTTCAAGGCCAGCCTGGTCTACAAAACAAGTACGAGGTCAGATAGGGCAATGAAGCAGGATCCTGTGTCAAAAATGAAATGAAGACAGTAAACCACCTGGGAGACCCAGAGTGTTCTGTGTGGAATGGAGCATTGCTTCTGAACTGCGGTACCCAGCTGCCCAAGTTACAGATACGAGCTGGAACATGGAGTCTCCCACCAAATGCAGAAATTCTTACAGCTCCAGCAGCCTGTCACCCATATCTGCCTGGACCCCCTCAGTGCTGGGGTACCTAGGTCCTAGTATGCAGCCCTCTCTGTTGTGACGGAGCCCTTCCTATTCCGATGTGGTATTTTCTTCCCTCTTATACCTGGTGATCCTCACTGTGCTCTGCAGCATTTCGAGGTGAATCTCTACCCCTTTTCTATTAGGTCAAAGCAAGTGAAATATTATTGTAGATCAAAACAGTTGAATATGGGCGATTTTAAATGGTCAGCCTTCAACAGGTCAGCCAGGTATTTGAGAACAGGTATTACAGATTACTTTAGTTTTTCTTCCCTGTATCTTCCCTCTCAAGTGCTGCTAGGATCACAGGCATGTGCCACCAGGACCAGCTTTTAACATTTTTTATTTTTTGATCTCACGTAGACCAGGCTGGCCTTGAACTTGCTATGTAGTTAAGGCTCACCTTGAACTGCTGACGCTCTCACCTCCACTTCTCAAGTGCTGGGGCTACTGACATGTGTCCCTACATACACCTCCCCTTCTAAGTCATGAGAGCTTCCTCATTGTGCTCTCCCACTAAATACATCCTTTCAATATCTTCCTTAACTGATAACTGGTCATCGCAACACATGGTGAGATTATGATCTCATTCTACCTGACATTCTCCTGAAGTTGAGACTAGATTGAGTTTGTTGACACCTGAAACTTTTCACCTAAAATCTTGTCAAGCCAGTCCTGTTTTGTTTTTGTTTTTTTTTTTGTTTGTTTTGTTTTTTGTTTTTTGTTTTTTGTTTTTTGTTTTTTCGAGACAGGATTTCTCTGTGTAATTTTGGTGCCTGTCCTGGGTCTCGACCTGTAGACCAGACTGGCCTAGAACTCACAGAGATCTACCTGCCTCTGCCTCCCTCATGCTAGGATTAAAGATGTGCACCACCACTGCCAGGTGATTTTTTTTTCTTTTAAACACAAATGTAAGTCTTAACTTTATCCCTGTTAAATTTCATCTTGTTGATTTTGGTACTTTGTTCTAATCCATCAAGATGATTTGACCACATTGTAAACATATATCAAACCCTCACACTGGGTCTGGAGAAACGATGTATCAGTTCAGAGCACTTGAAACAGTGCAAAGGACTTGAGTTTGGTTCCCAGCACCCAGGCCAGGTGACTCTCAACTGCTTGTAACTTTGTAACTCCAGCTCTATTGGATCTGGGGCCATCTTCCTAACTCCATAGATACTGCACTCATGTGCACATACCCAACACACACACACACACACACACACACACACACAGAGATACACTCATATTTAAATATTAAAAGCAAGCAAACAGCTGGGGGGTGCACGCCTTTAATTACAGTACTCGGGAGGCTGAAGCAAGCAGATCTCTGTAAGTTTGAGGCCAGCCTGGTCTACAGAGAGAGTTCCAGAATAGCCAAGGCTACACAGAGAAACCCTGTCTTGGAAATAAAAAAGAAAGAAAAAGAAAAAGAAAATAAATTTGAGCAAAGTTGTTCTATGTAGCCTAGATTGACCACACACTGGAAATCCTCCTGCCTCAATTTCCCAAGTTATAGGAATACAGGCATGTGCCAATACAATACAATACTATGCCTATTCCTGGATGAAAAACACATTTACATTTTTTCCAGGTGTGTTTGAAATCCTACATTTATCATCCATTCTTTTGCATATCACCAAAAACCTCGACTTTAAAAATACTAGGGCAGTAATGCTGCAGCTCCTTTTCCTTTTTTTTCTTTTGGGGTGGGCGTGGTCTCACTACGTATCCTTGTCTACCTTGGAGCTCGCTGTATAGACCAGGCTGTCCTGGAATTCATAGAGATCTCCCTGCCTCTTCCTCCCAAGAACTGAGATTAAAGGCCTGTGCCACTGTGCCAGCCAGCAGCTCTTCTTCTTCTCAGTCTACTAAGAGTCTCTCTCTCTCTCTCTCTCTCTCTCTCTCTCTCTCTCTCTCTCTCCTCCCCCCACCCCCCCCAGCAGGATCTCTCTATGTAGCTCTGGCTGTCCTGGAACTGGCTATGTAGACCAGGCTGGTCTGTAATTCACAGAGGTCTGCCTGCCCCTGCCTTCTGAGTGCTGGGATTCAAGTCCCGTGCTACCAGTCTGGACCTGCTTTTATCTTCTTACTCTGTCTCTCATTGTGTCAGGGAGAGGACAAATATATTCCATAGTTTGACACAGGAGCCTTCCGATCAGAGGCCTAAAGACTCAGGGTGAACTCTGCATTCACACACACGTGTTCTATGAAGTTTGGACTGCAGTGCGGAAAGATGAGTTGACATGAAGGGTGTGCCAACGAGTAATAGATTAAGGGGGAAACCCAGCAAGGCCTGTCTGTTGAGATTCCTGGCCTGTGTGAGCAGTGTTCTTCCTTCCAGGGTGGGTGGGGTAACAGGCTGCAATCAAAACGTCAAGTGAAAGTTTTTTAAAGTGGACTCCCATGGAGAGGTGGAGGGGAGAGGTGAAGGGGAGAGGGGGGAGGGGGACGGGACAGCCCCAAACAAGACAAAAAGTCAGACTTGTGTTCATTACTTTGCTCATTTAGTAATAATCATTGCCAAAGCA